TATTTGCTTTCTGTTTCATATCTTGAATGCTTGCAGTCACACTGAGATTGGATTGATAACCTAATATACTACAATGGCATGTGTATTAGGAATTGATACATGTTAGAGAGACAAAAACCTACTATCAACAACCTCTTGCAAAATACCTTTTTCTCTTCCTTAGACATCCAGTAAGCTGCTGGAGGCAAATATGTTTTCTTTCCCCGTACCTCTCGGTGCAGAGCCTTCGGATTCCAATATCTTCCAGGTCTTTTCTTGCTTTCAAGCCATCTTTTGACTTGGCACTTTGCATCAGTGTAGACAACATAGCATCAGACAAGTTCTTCTCCACATGCATCACATCAATATTGTGACGCACCGGCAAATCCTAAGATAAAGATAATCAAAGAGTCAGCTTTACGATCATATTCTCATGTCAATTTACTTAAGTTAAATTTAAAAAACAACAAAATCTATTACCTTCCAGTAAGCTAACTCAAACAATATTGACCGCTTCTTCCACCACCACTGATCAGTGCTTTCATCACACTCTTCCTCTGGAACCACCTCATCTTCTAACAAATCTGATCTTTTTCTTTTAGCTTCCTTATCTAAAGCTCTTCTAAAATCATTCCTGAAGTCTTTCAGTATGTCAAATATTTCAGTACCAGACTGAACCCTTTTTGTAGTGCCTTCCTCGATAGTGTTATCAAACCATGCTTTTCTGCGCCTGTAAGGATGTCCAGGTCTGAGTCGCTATCTGTTACCCATATACACATACTTTCGACAGTTCTTCAACCACCTACAAGGTGTTTCCTTTCCACATACATTACACGCTTGTTTCCCTTTCACTTTACATCCAGACAAGGTCCCTAACGCAGGATAGTCACTGATACTCCACAACAACATAGCTCTAAGTGTGAAATTCTCTTTCAAAAATGCATCGTAGACCTCAATACCCTCATTCCACAAATCCTTTAAATCATCAACCAATGGTGCAAGATAGACATCAATATTGTTGCTGGGAGCTGTTGGACCAGGAATCAACAATACTGGCCAAGTACTATACTTGGAGTTCTGAATGGAGAAAGGGTTCATCCCATATGTAGAAAGACCGAGACGAAGATTTCTTGGATCAAGAGCAAACTCTGGCCATTTCTGATTCACCTGAGCCCAAGATATAGAATCAACAGGGTGTCTCATTGTACCATCTTCACTTGCATTACTCGAATGCCAACGCTACTCCTCAGCAATCCTTTTTGATCTAAACATCCTCCTAAATCTGTCCTTGATTGGAAAATATCTAAGGACCTTCGCTGGAATACCCTTCTTTTCCTCACCACTATGCTTATCCATTTCCCATCTAGAAGCACTACATCTAGGACAGCTTTCCATCTTATCAAACTGTTTCCGATAGAGGATACAGTCATTCTTGCATGCATGAATGACATCATATCCAAACCCAAAAATCTTCAAGAACTTCTTCATTGCATCTGTAGACTTTAGCAGAACATTGTCTTTAGGAAGCATGTCATGGACTATCGTCAATAGCTGATCAAAATAGTTCTCTGACATTCCACTCTTCACTTTGATGCGGTAAAGGCCCATTATCGCAGAAACTTTGGTGTAATTAGAGCACGTCGAGTATAATGGAGTTTCAACATCTCTCAACTTCTTCCTAAACTCAGAGTCTTCTGTAGTTTCACCCTCCTCAGTTTCTCCTCCAATGTTGTTTAATGGCTCTGGACTGCCTTCACCAGTAAAATAAGCCGTCCTACGCAAATCATAAGCCTCAGTTTCTGATGTGGGAACACTATCAGAAATATCAGACTTTCTTTCACCATGCATACTCCAACACGAATTCCTCATGTATTTCTTATCCATACCCTTGATCACAAGATGGTCCACTACTGTGTCTACAAGTTGATGGCAAACATTGCGGCAATCGATGTAGGGACAGAAAATTTCAGATGGATTCCCCAACCTCCTTGATGATGCAGTCACAAAATTTGTTCCTCCTTCCACATACTCTCGGCTAGCCCTATATGTTAAATCAGACCATACAGAGTTCATATCATTATAATCAGACCACAAAAGTATTTGTTATCAATCAATGAATGAAAATACAAAAGTTCATATCTCAAAGAAACTCATACCTTGGAAGCCACACCCATGCCTTGTCCATAACACAACAATAGGACCACAGCTCCACCACCGATTTTACAATTTATGATGATAAATTCAAAGTATAAGACACTCAACTAACTTTTAATCAAATCAACACATACTTGCAGTGAAACAAATGAGTTAGAAAATAACAGCTTACGGAGTAAAAACAATCGCCAACAACAGAACCTTGCAACTTTGAAGACTGTCTGCAAAAAGATATTGACATAATCACTACCTTAGAAAAAAACACAACTCAGATTAATCTTAGAAACAAAATCACACATACCTGTTACTTCTTCTGGTTCGAAACTGAACTGCAAAAACAGTCAAATATATACAGACATATTAGAAATCGATTATCAAAATCAAAACAATTAAATCAAATTAACAAATTGAAAATCGACTAACTAAACTTTGAGTTTAAATCTCAAATTCCCAAATTTCACCAATTCGACCAAACATATAGTTTAAATCTGAAAACTCAACCATTATTTTACCTTCAATGCTAAAATCGACCAAACAAATTCGATTTCCACCGACCCAGATGACGAAGACAGAGATTGATAGAGAGATCGAGACAAAGAGAGATTGATAGAGAGATCGAGACAAAGAGAGATTGATAGAGAGATCGAGACAAAGAGGGATTGATAGAGAGATCGAGACAAAGAGAAATTGATAGAGAGATCGAGAGAAAGAGAGATTGAAAGAGAGATTGATACAAAGAAAGGAACGACACTGTGTTGAAATTTTTTAGATCGAAACAGAGAATACAAATTAGGAGCAAGAAATCAAAGTGAAATGTCGATTGAGAAACAAGAGGAAAACGAGAGAGAAAGGGGTATTTTCTTAAGACAGAACCCTAATTTTTAATCGATTGGGTTTATTTTTTACCCAAATTTTCCTTTTCTTTGGCGGTCAACAATTTATTTCGCGGTCAACAAAATTTTTATTTCGCGGTTGACAATGTTATCGCATTGAAATAATGGATATGCTATTGAATACACAGATAATTAGGCGGGATCAGAATTGCTTTTTGCCGCGTAACAAAACATAGCGTTTGTTTTCAAGAAACGCTATCAATTAACAGGACAAACAATAACAATAGCATTAACATAGGAAACGCTATCTTCAAATGTTATTAATACGCGTTTTTCCTGTAGTGTCTCTTTTGGTGCGTATATCCAAAGGATCTAAGTTTCGGTATCATGAAGTTCTTCCGCAAACTTTTGTGATATCCATCGATCCATTCTCTCGTCTTTGAGTCGTGTGTCGTCTCTAGATCGAGATCATCTATCCATCCTCACGGCTTCGCAGCCACCTTTATCCCTTGCTCAACTTTAGAGTACCGAGTCCTCGGGAGATCGTGTCATAAAGTAGGTGTAGCTCATTATTGAATTTGATCAACAACAATTCTACAAAAATGTTCAAGGAAGGTAATTCTCCAGAGAATCCCTCTGACTCTTTTAAAAAGATAAGCGATGATTTTCCGGAAACGTTAGACATCGGGCTTGTAAAAACGGAAGCAACCGGCGAACCAGATGAGTCACGCTCATTAGGGTGGGGGACCAGCATTCAGGTTCCAAACGTGTTAATCGAGAGATTATTAGCTCAAGTTCATGTCAAGGCTAAAGAGTTTATTAACAAGGTATTGTTCAACCTAGTAACCTGACTCCTTTCGTTGTTTGTTCAACGAAGCGTTTTGTTTCCTCCAGCTTATTACTCGGCATAACGAGCTCGAAGATGAGAAAAAAGAGATTAGAAAAAAGAGAATGGAACTAGAGAAGCGTCGCCTCGATATTGCTCGCGAGCTTCATCACCTCGATATTGCTCGCGAGCTTTATCGCCTCGAAGCCCATCCCTCTGATTGGATCGAGATAGGTCTACAGGAGTACGGAAACATGCCAAGTTGTATCCTGAGCATCGTTGACCTCGCAGGCTAAGGAGCAGAGCTATTCCGTAATCCAAGACCCTTCTAGATCTGGTTTTTGCTTTATCTAAAAATACTTCTTCATACATTGTTCGCAACGTACTTTAATATTTATGCTAAAAGATCGAGCTTATTAAAAACAAGACTCCATGATTGGAGTAATATTTTTATTTTTATAGCTGGACTCTTGTTGAGCGAGCTTTCTACGTACCCAAAATAGGTTCAAGCCAAATCATAGTTCGATATGTTTGTTTTAGCAATATAACTTTTTCAAGTTGATGATGTTCCAAGGCCTTTGAACGGGATTTCCGTCAAAGTCTTTTAAACGGTATACACCATTTCGGATTTTTTCTGTGATTTGATAAGGGCCTTCCCAGTTAATACCGAGTTTCCCAGCTCCTTCTCTTTTGTGTTATCGAATACTCGTCTTAAACAAAGTCTCCTACATTTAATAGTCTATTTTTCAACTTTGAATTATAGTATCGAGCGGTTAACTGTTGATAGTTTTGAAGTCGAATAAGGGATTGGTCTCGCCTTTCATCAATTGTATCGAGAACGTCTTCTAATAATTTAGAATTCAGTTCTTCGTTAAGTGGAGCTTCGCTCCGGCGTAAACCGGGAACATTCAGCTCAGCTGGGACTACTGCTTCCATCCCATATACTAATGAGAATGGAGTTTCTCCCATTGCTCGTCTCGGGGTTGTTCGATATGCCCACAACACATGTTGCAGCTCGTCGTACCAACCACCTTTTCGAGCATTCAAACGTTTCTTAGGATTGCTAAGAATGGTTTTATTGGAAGCTTAAGCTTGCCCATTTCCTTGAGGATACCTCGGCGTCGAATAGCTAAGTTTTATCCCCCAAGAGGAACAAAAATCTTCAAATTCATTTGAAATGAACTGTGGACCATTGTCCGTTACTATTTCGTAAGGAACTCCATGGCGACAAATAATGTGTTTCCACAAGAATGTCTTTACCACAGAATCTTGTATATTTATGTAAGCTTCAGCTTCGATCCATTTGGAAAGCTGCTTCGCATTGATCATCCCACCGAAATTTCTTGTTTCCTTTTAAAATTTGATAAAAGGGGAAACATTTATTGGTAGATTTTGAGATCAAAACGATTCAACGCAGCAATTCTGCCCGTCAATCGTTGGACCTCTTTAATGTTTTTTGGCGAAGGCATCGTGAGGAAAGTGTTAATCTGATTGGGATTTGCTTCTATTCCTCTTTCCGTGACTATGTATCCTAGGAATTCTCCGGAAGGAACACCAAAAGAACATTTAGCTGGATTTAGTTTCATTCCGAATTCATTCAGAATTTTGAAACATTGCTCAAGATGAGTGATGTGCTCGGATTTCTTAAGAGATTTCACGAGCATATCATCAATATAGACTTCCATCGTTTGGCCCAAATGTTCTGCGAACATTTTGTTAACTAAACGCTGGTATGTTGCTCCGGCATTTTTTAGACCGAATGGCATAACTTTGTAACAGTAGATTCCTCTATCTGTTATGAAGGACATTTTCTCTTTGTCTTCGGGATTCATCATGATCTGATTATATCCAGAAAATGCATCCATAAATGACAAGAGTTTGTTTCCGGCAGTTGATTCTACAAGCCGATCAATATGAGGGAGAGGGAAGCTGTCTTTCGGACATGCTTTGTTAATGTCAGTGAAATCGACACATACTCACCACTTTCCATTCTTCTTTTTGACTACCACGGGGTTTGCTAACCAGTCCGGGTATTTTACTTCTCTAATAGAACCAATTTTCAAAAGCTTATCAACTTCGTCATTGACCGCTTGAGCTCGGTCAGGACCCAGTTTTCTTCTCTTTTGCCTTATTGGTTTAAAACTGGGATCGACGTTTAGTTCATGGGTAATGATACTTTTGTCGATTCCGAGCATATCTTTCGCCGACCAGGCAAAAGTAAGTTTATTTTCTTTTAGAAATGTTACCAATTGATCTTTGATTTCTGAATCTAAAGTAGTGCTGATCTTTACTTTTCGATCTGGAAATTCGGAATCAATTTCAACTTCTGTGGTAACTTCATTCGAATTGAGACCACTTGGGTAACGCGAGATGCTTTCCTGCTTAGCGTTTATCATTAATTGCTATTTGAGCTTTAAGCGATGTCCCATGAGGTAGCAAGAACGCGATGTTTCCTGATCTCCTCGAATGGTTCCGATTCCTCCGGGAGTCGGAAATTTCACACATTGGTGGTAATTTGAAGGTATTGCCTTCATCTGGTATATCCACTGAGTTCCGAGAATTATGTTGTAAGCGGCCGGTCGGTCGAAAACAATAAATTCTACAATTTTTGGAACCCCTGCGGCGAGCACTGGTAGTTTTATGTTTCCTAAGGACATAGATGTGTCACTCGTGAAAGCTACTAATGGTGCCGGTGGACCGATAATGCCGGCTTTACTGATTCTCATTCTTTGCAAAGTGCTTAGAAATATGAGATCTACCGAGCTTCCAGTATCAATTAGACACCTTGTCACTTCGAAGTTTGCAACATCTAAGGTTATCACAAGAGCATCGTCATGAGGCCCTGTTATTCCTTGGGCGTCCGAATTGTCAAAAGAGATAGAAGGTATTTGTTCATTTGACTGAAAACCCATAGCGGTTTGAATCGCTGCTGATTTTTTATGCCTTTTGATTGATCTGATCGAATCTCGGCATAATTTGGATCCTCCCATTATAACATCGATCCTTTTCTTAGGAGTGTTCGGAGTTCCGGGCCCATTGGGCTTATGTTTCTTTTCAGGAGGATTAGAAACTTCGGATTCTTCTTTTTCTTTGTGATAAGACTCAACAAATTCCTCCATCTTGAAATTAGCGAGCTCTCCAGCTGCCCACAGTTCGGTGAGGTGCTTTTTGAGTACGCTACAATCTTTGGTGGAGTGCCCATTTACTTTGTGAATATCGCAATAGGCACTTTCATCTCTAACCCAAGTATTAGGAGGATTGTATCTTCCTCTGCTTGGGGAGGGTTTTCCTACAGCATTAGTAGCAGGATTAACTCCGAACCTTTTTTGATCTTTAGGTTCGAACTTTTTCGTCGGATTTGCAACGACTAATTTAGCTGGCCGATGCTTCTTAGCGAGACTAAGTTTTTCTTCCTCTGTCTCCATCCAATTGTTAGCTCGGAAGAGAGCATCATGGATGGTGCTTGGACAATTGACAATGAGTTCTTCCCGAAATCAGGATTCGTGCCAGAGTCCATTCCGTAAAGCGGATAGGGCAGCAGCATGCGATACCCCAGGAATTTTGGCTATCACTTCTTTGAATTTAGCGATATATTTGCGAAGTGGTTCATTCTGATCTTGGGTTAGATTCCAAAGATCTGCATCAGAAGTTGCCTTTTC